TTATGGTCATACTTTCTTTTAATTTTATACAAACGACAGTCGTCTACTGAGGAAGATTAAATTAAATTAAAAAGAGGCGGGTTGTTAATCAAACAAACTTTAAGAGAGGAGTAAAGACAAGAGGCTAAGAAGACAATCTATTTTCGCTCAACACATTTTGAACAATCTGATCGTACACGAACTTGTTATTTACATGAATTTAAACGGAAATAATAAAGCCTTACGAAGTGAAGGAATAACCACAGGTTAAGTTATGTGGTTATTATTGAGGGTTGAAATAACACTGGAGGACTATAAACCAAAGCAGGCAGATAGTAATACATCTATCCGTGTATCAAATCAGAATTTACCAAGAAAGGCTTAATGCAATGAGAAATTTAAAACAGTTAGTCCATTTGATAAATTTGAATAAGCATTTAGAAGACAAATTTCGCGAGATAATATCATTTCGTAGTTTCTTTACAACGGCTTTACAACTAACATGGTTAACGATGATAAAATAAAGTCCATGACAATTACTCAGTTAAATAAAAAAAAAACTAAAGTACATACTAATGACCAATCATATTTAAATAGGTCATGTGGTCCATGGTAGGCGAAGATTGAAGTCTACTGTTTTTGTACACACAGTTTAGGCTGTATGTGATCAATCCAAAGTGCTTCCATCACCTTCAGTAACTTTGAATTAGAGTTATGTGAAATAATTGTGAAACAGTCATTAATATTGATTTTGTGACCTGACATTAATAAGTGTTTTGCAATGGATGATGCTGGATTTCTGTTCAGATTAACTGCATTGAGAGTTTCTAAATGATTTAGTAGCCATTTTGGAACATGTTTTTGTCGACGACATTGGAACATTCTGTTGGTTCTACCCATATAAGTGTCACCACAGCTGCAGGTGAACTTGTAGTACAGCTTGAAGTAGCGTCCACAGAATTTCGTCCTTTAATTGTAAGTACGGGGATAGAAAATTTTCGACAAGTGAGAAAAAGAGATGTGGCGGCGTAGAATGTGCGTTTGATGGTTGACTGAAGTTTTTGAGCTGTCAACTGCATAATCTGGTCACCCTTGAATGGTAGGTTGACAAAGATAGCTTTCTTTGGTACAGAAGCTGTCTTTTCGAGATGTGGTCTTTTTTACTGTGACAAGTGATAAAGGTTTCCGGATAACCATTAGCTAACAAAACTGAATGTATATGTCGAAACTCATGCATCACTGATGGTTATACTAGATGATCTCACTGCTCCTTTGCGAAAGATATTATAAGTACAGGGCGTAAACTCGGTGATTATTTGTCTTTTAGACGTGTTGTGTGGACGTATCCTAAAGTTTGTGGAAGTTTTAGAGATTAGGTAGTTTAAACCATCTTTATGTGTGCGAAAACAGATTGCCATCATATTAAACCTTTGTTAAATTTTCTTTTGATGTCAGGATAGATATGATTAGATTATTTGAAATGTTTTACGCAAATACGTGACTCAATTTGAATAAATTAAGTTTACTTATTGCTATATTCAAATTGATAGCGAGAGAACTAACTGTTTCATATCCTTAAAGACAGTCTGTTGAATAATCAAGAGGATTCTTAGTAACTGAGATGACTTCTGGACAGGTCTTTTCCGAAGGACAAAAGTAATTAAGGAGTTCAGTGGTCTCTGGGTGTAGCAAATTATTTTCTGGAGTTTATCACCACAGATTTTTTTTCAATCTAGTGTTTGTCTACAGTCTTCTTAAGAAATAAGCCATGGAATAAATAGAATAAAGTCACATCGGATAAATTGTTGATTACATACCTTAACTATGTATTTAATTTTTTTTATATTTTTTACTCAATTTTGATTTTCCCGTTGTCTGATTGAAATAAAATGTCCAAAATTGAATTACAGACTGACGGCTGGTTTCAACATGGAACTCTGCTCAATGTGCAGCAGTTCGAGTTGCCACACTCCCTCCATGTAGTACACAAAGCAAGAGAAGAAAGTAGAGGGAGATTGGAAACAGAGATAATTAATAGAATAAGAGGAAAGAGAATGGTGATATGGAAGAACCACATAGTTTTATTCGATATTATCAATCAAAAGGAGTGAATGCATCTACCCTATTAATTGAGAACGACTTCAAGCCATTTCACCAATTATCTCTAGCTTTCATCGGTGTTTACCATCCCGAGGATCCCACCCAGGAAGTCTACACCTCCCTATGTGACTGGCTGGCTTAAACTAACTGTTGTGGATCTCGTTGAGTGATGAGACCATGTTTTGGTTCGACCGCCACTAGCCGACTCTTCTCCAACCTAATCCATCGTATTTCAGCTAGCATTGCCCATTATAGAAGAAGGCGATAGCTAGGCTAGATATGTGGAACACATGTCCTAACCATCTCAATCGATGTAACTTCACAGACTCATCTGTTGATTTCCCTCCTTACCTACAGCTCAACCGAAGGATAACCTCAATATTGCTCACCTTGTTATACCACTTTACATGACAGATTGAATACAGGCACTATGATCGAGGGCAGCTAGCCAGGCCTTTCATGTGTTCCATTTTCAATAGCCATATCTTGCTCACAGCCATAAAGGAGGATGGAGTAGACTGCTGAGTAGTACACACGCCCTTTGGTCGACAGCCAGCTGGATATGACGTCTCCTCCATAGATGGTGTAAACTAGCATATACCAAACGAGCCTTCTGTATACGTGATGAGATCTCGTCAGCGATCATCCCGCCACTTCACTCCCTATCTTTAAGCTAGGATGAGTCAATCTAGTCCAGTTCTGTAGAATTATTTTACATTTGGCAGGAGCAAACCTCATGCCAAACACTCGCAGATTGCTAGTTCTCAAGGTGTTCAGAAGACTCTGCATTTTGTCAGTGTCTCCATCTAATGGGGAAGTTGTATCATCTGCATACTAGACTGCAGAGGAATCGTGAAAAAACCCAGATTAGCCCTCAAAGCTTGCTACTCAAATGTGTCTACAATTAAAAATCATATTAATTTACATTGAATGGATCAATCAAAAGGTTAGGTCAACGAAGTGATCATTACCGATACAGGTGAATACAAAAGGAAGATAATCTTTGGCGACAGTCAATCACAGTGAGATTTGTCAAAAAAGAAGATAATTTTACTCATTGAGGACTTCAGCAAGCTTATTTTATTTCGAAATAGGTGTGAAGATGTTCCATAAAGAATAACGATGGCATTGTAATTGTAGCGAGTGATTTTGGACTACATCAGTATCCGTAGACAAGGTTGCTTACTATCACAGATAGTATTCCTTATTGTTGTGGAATGAATCTAGCAACAGACCACGGGGAGTGAGGAGACAAGAACACTTTGGATTGACAAGATGACAACAGAAGATCTGGATTTCATGGACGATTTATGCGTAATGTCACACAAACTCGAAGACCTACAGGTGAAAATCAATAAATTCTAAGAAAAGGGAGGTAGCTAAGATAGGAGTTCAAGTGGACATCGAGAAGACAGAGGTGATGAAGGTTGTCTACCAACAACAACTACAACAAGAACCACCAATCACTGTCAACAGTGGGAATTTGAAGGAAGTCAGTTCTTCCACGGATGACGAAGTCAAAACTAAGATCAGATGGCCAAGACAAACCTTCTTTAGTATGAAATCAATCTGGAAATCTACTGCACCCAGCATGAAAAAACAAGATTGGGATTTTCAACACTAATGTCAAGTCAGTCAGTTCTCTATTGTTCAGAGACTTGGTGCGTGTATCACGAAAAGCATTTTCAACAGACAACCGCAGACTTTTATCAACAGCTGCCTTCACTGACTCCATAGTGAAGATCACTTGGTCTGCTACATAGGATTAGCCACAAAGAACTGTATTAACGAACCAGCCAAGAACTTAGTGTTCAACAAATATGTATAAGAATAGGGAGATGTATCGGACATACTGATGAGACCATTAAGTGACGTCACTCGCTAGTCTGTCGAGTGTCACTCGAGTGGGAAGTGACGAGTTGAGCTGCCAAGGATGAAATGGAGGAGATCGTGTGTGTGTAGGGGGGCAGTTATGGGGCCAGCTGAAGAGAAAACACAGAAGAAGTTGAAATGGAGGTGCAATGTTGAAGCCCTATGTTCCACCGGGAACCCAATGTAATAATAATAATAATGATGAATGCATCAGTGTCCTTGAATAGATGCTTTCTAAAACACTAATGATGCCAAAGTGTATTGTCTTTGTATTCTGTCTCATTAAATCGACCAGCTGAGGTGAATACACGATGAATTGATTGCATTCTTCTGTCTCTTACCTTACACTTCCTATCAAATAATAATATTAATAATCAGAATACATTGTCTTTTAGGAGATTACAATACTTATAGAAAAAGAAGACGGTAAAAGTACAGTATTTTTCTATTCTTTTTTTCATAAAAGTTTAAAACTACAAATTAAAAACATACATAAATACATACACATACATGTATAAACATTTGGTTAGTTGTACTTTGTTCTGACTGAACTTCTTCACGATGCTGTTTTTTTTAAAAAATTTTTTATGCATAGAATGAAGCTTTGCAGAACGTGTTTATTTCTCTGTTCTACAATAATGGATATCAGCTGGTGACTAAATCTGTCTGTGAAAAATGGCATTATCTTCCGTTTTATTGCTGGTTTTCATTAGTTTATATCTGTATGAAGGAAGAGGCCTAATTAATTCCTATGAATCGATGTATTAAATTAAGTTATACTAACAGTATTTTCGTTTCATTAATCAAAAAGAAAATACATAAATTTATACAACTGAATATTGAATTTATCACTGGGGTTTAAATATGTTTTTGTTCTAAAAATTATTTTTATTACATATTATAATCTGACTGGTGAATAGGTGTAGCAGTTATGTTATCAGTGAGTATTGAAACAGGAATCCATGAAATTGTTTTTGTATTCTTCAACTGTTCATTATTCTCATCGAAGCCACCGCTGACGTCACCGCCTCCATCACCATCATTACCTCCTAATCCTCCTTTATGATCTGTTGTTGCAGGTAGGGTAATATCTGATGAGCAATCGGTTCTAATCTTAATTCATAAGTGGTTGGTAATTGATTGCCTGGTAATTTTGTCAGTGAATTTGTCGACGTATTTGCTGTTGTCATTGTTGTTGTTACTGTTGTCGTCAGATCTTTAAATGATTCTAATACTGAACTGACGGCAAATATACGTGTCGGTGTTGTAAACTCACTGTTTTCATTATGATGAAGAATTAAATGTGGACCATGAGTTGGACATCCTCTGGATAATGTACTAACAATCTAAAATATGAAATAAATAAAAAAAAGAATTTTAGATTATGTGTTTCGTGGGGGGGAGGGTTAAGTACATTTCAACTGTTATATTTTCGTCACAAAACGACATCATATAGCGGATCCATTGAAAATCAGGAGGCGTTTCGTCTTATTTTGCGACTCTTCAGCAGTACACACCTGCACAACTACAAATCGAATCCAATACCTTCAGGTTTGGAGACCAAGCTTGTTGACCATTCAGCTACTTAGTCTGGAATCCAGTGAACCCTGAATTCTCACTTTGTCAATTCGTGATTTGGCGCCAGCCTCAATTTAATGACTTTGATAAACATCTACCTTATCTTGACAAGGAAAAGAGGACCTTACTGGTCATGACTTTCACCACAGCTTGAGAATATCCATCCAGCAGGCATCAGTGAGCTGCCGATTGATTTTCAGTTCATGAAATTTGTAGGAATTTCAGGACTAACTTTAGTACCTGAAGTTTAGTGCAAGGCTCGCTGAAGCGAAAACATTGTTGGAGTTTTTCAAAGAATGTGTAGAAAACGAACGTTATCCTCAACTACATTAGAGGTCGTTAAGAGGAATGAGGATTCATTCTAATCCTAAGATTTTAAAAAGACATGCCTCTAATCAGATTGATTGTGTTAAAACTCTTATAAATGATCTAGAAAGGAACATATCACAAAGACAATTTTCAGTTAATCATTTACCTGAGGAATTACAATTGATGTTCATTGAATATGTTAATAACGTAACAGTAAACAGAAGTAATAATAAAAGGATTAGTCTTGTCAAATCTCTCGAAAGCCAAAAGCTTGAAAGGAAATTTTCGTCAGTTCCGGGCTGGTATGTTCACAATTTTTCCAGTGTCGTGCCTAATAAGTTTCAAATGGAGGTGTGATCCCTAGGTCCAAAATTTAGTGATTATGCTGCTAAAGTTAACCAACTAGACACTCATATACAGTTTGAAAATTTGTATTCTCAAACGTCTGACCTTATCCCATCATCGGACGATGAACTAACTAGGTTCAAAACGACGCTAGTTGACACCTGCCAGCAATATTAAATTTTTAATCAAACACCACTTAAATCAGTTATAAAGACCATTCAAAACTATGTCAAGGTAAGCTAGATGCTCATCAAACGCATTGGTAAGAATAGCGCTATATCACAAATGGACAAAGCTAGAATTTACAAGTCGCTTAAATCTGGTTCAAGTGGCCGAATGGTCAGCAAGCTTGGTCTTGTAACCTGAAGTTCTTAGGTTTGTTCCTTAGTGGAGTGATTAGTGCGTACTCCTGAAGAGTCCCTAACCAGTAAGAAATAGCTTTCTCTCAGTTTTAATGGTTCCTCTAACTGGTATCAACCTTTGACTGAGATTAAAGACTATGCTAAAAAAGTTTTGCATTTGTAAAACATTTGAAAGAAAGATTAGTTGGATTCAAATAAGATATTCTTTTATTCATTGACTTCATAAAAAGATGAAATAACAATAAATTAAATTAAAAATATATGAATAGAATGGTCAGACAAGGAGGTTATAGTAAATTATACATTCAAGTGAAACAGGCTACAGTCTGACTGATTTTGTCGCGAAAAAACTTATGAAAAAGGTGGAGAGCTCTATCGAGTAGTCAGTCAAATGTTACCATTCATTGCTACTTCAGTAAAATGATACGAAATAAATAAGGGTAGAAAAATGGCAAGTTGAATAAGTGGTGTGGCTGTGTCATATGTGAAGTGGACAGCTTGAATTGCATTGCCAGAAAATTTTAATCACATAGTTACAAATAAGACTTACAACTGTTCATCATATACCACTCAACTTTCGACAATGTTTAAGCTTATTTCTACTACACAGAGTAAATGACTTTGTATATATATATATAACCATTATTGCCGTTTAAGTCTTACCTTGTGTTTTGCCCAATGCACTTAAACGTTATACATATTATCCCACCATTCTTCATCAACCCTCGGTATTTCTTGCCACACTTTTTGTCTCCCTATTCTTCTTAAGTAATTATTGCTAACCCGTGATTAATCGACAAAGCTCTTCATTTCGTATGTGAAGTACCGAACAATCAATTGAATAACAACCTGTCCCAATTTATTTTTGATATGTTTTAACCTCTGAAATGGTCATTTTGTTCATGAATTTACTACTTATGTTTAACATTTATGTGTACTTTTAAATTATCGATTGCTATTCGATATTGTAACTTCAGATAGTTTTTTTATTCTTAGGATTAACGGAGGTTTATAATAGAATTTGGATACAATAAGCCATTAGTCCTAGCTGTGTTCTATATCAGATTATGGTGTCTGTTTAGGGGAATACGGGAATTAGAATAATAATTGACAGTACTTTAGAGCGAATTTTCTTTTTTATTCATTAACACTGTTCGAATGGTCTCAGAGTATAAATTTTAGTTTCAGGCTTGAACAAGACTTGCGTGTTTCTTATGATGTTGAATAATACTCATCTTAGTGTCATTTTCTCTCTCAATTTTTGTTGATCGTCTTATATGTCGTCGATTTCTATAAAAAAATTGTTCGTTTGACTGACAACATAAGGATGTTGAGACTGTGTGGTATAACTCAACCTCTTCTATTACAATTTATTAATTCATGCATTCTACCCATTCTTCTTTATTATTCCTCTTCATGCTCCCTTGGGTGCATTGGTGGCACAGCGGTAGAATGCTTGCGGTTCGAGGCTCGACCCCCAACCAATGCACTCCTTTATCTCGCTAAGTCAGTAATAAGACTGGTGAAGAGGCAAGGTTGAGCGTGAGACTAGCAACCAGATCCCGTAAAAATCAAACACCGCTGTTACCGAAACTTAAGCCTCTAGCTTGAAGCCCTATTTTTCACTGGGAACGTAGAGGAATAAAAAGCGCTTCTTTGGGCTTCTCAAAAGAAACTGTGTTATAGTACTTAGGGCTTTGAAGGCTGTAAGCAGGGTTTGTAGAATGCCTTTGACGCAACTAATTGAAATTGCTGTTCATAAGTATTTTAATTCTTGTAGGCGATTGGCTAAAGTCATGTTGTCTGATAGTGAACATCCCCTTCCATAAAAAGGTTTATAGCTGTACTGTTAAATATAAAACTTCGTAATTATTATTTATTTTATTTTATCACTTTACGTTCCCAGTGGGACATAGCGCTTCAAGCTAGAGGCTTGAAGTTTCGGTAGCATTGGTGTTTGATTTTTGAGGGATAGGGTTGCTAGCCTCATGCACAACCTTCTATCTTTACTAGTCTTATTACTAGCTTAGCGAGGTAGAGTAGTGCGTTGGTGGGGGACCCAACCCGAACCACCTACGTGGTTGGCGAGCATTCTACCAGTATACCATCTACCCAGTCATACCATATTTACAGCGAGTGTTGTGAGAATAGACAGATGTCAGAAGAGGGCTTACAAACCTATTTTATTAACTGTGAATAAACTGCAAATTATAGCCAGAAGCTTTATTACACATTCCATGCCTCCATTTGCTTTCAGTTTATGCAGTCCTATTATTTTTTGTTTTGTTTATTTATTTGTGAAAGGAGAAGAATGCTCGCAATATGCCTAGTGCTAGAATTCCATTATGTATACAAATCACTGTCTGGAATAAAGTGATTACTGTTATGATTATCACTGTTATTATTCTTCTGTGCAGTTTCTTGTGTTAAGAGGCATAATTTGGTCAGTAATAACGCGAATAAGCAGAATTCTGGATAAGAAGGGAAAGTCAATCAGTGGGATTGTGAAACTGCATCAATTGAGATGGCTGGGGTATGTATTATGCATGCCCAGCTACCATTCTATTCGACAAACAATGTTAGAATTTGTTGGATTAGGTGGGAAAAAGAGTTGGCGGTGTCTAGACTAAAGCACACCTCCAACCTACGAAGGTTGCAAATTATCGATTCGAAACAAACAGCGAGGTAAAAACTGCCAGGTTGGTGTCCTAGGGAGATGCTAAGATTTAATAGTTAGAGACTGTTACTTAATTAAATTTTAAACAGTTCAGATGCATTCACTGTTTTTAGTCTTCTAGATTCGCTGAATCTTCATAATTCTTCAGGTTATTTATCTTTCCCCCCTGGCAAATTCCCACTTATTATATTTTTATTACGTTTCTTACATCGAACTTTATGTTTGCTTTTACGAAGCTTGACACCTTGGACTTCTGTTGATTTTATACAAAGTTCTACAATGAAGAAGATTCAGTTCATATTTCTCAGTGAATAGTCATTTTAATCTAGCAGTGTGAGTGTTTTAAATCTTTGAATACAGCAGTCAATACCAATTCACGGTGATTTTTTAAAATGAGGAAATGATAACGAGTCCTAGGGAGCTGTTGTACACGGCAGTTTATTTAAGCAAATTCTATAAGTGTGCTTGATTTTCAGTAATTCCTTGGGTTTCTTTTTATAATTAAAGTCAACCGTTGAAGTTTCACACTTCTGTTAATGACAGTAATAGCTTCATTCTGGACAAAATGTCTACACAATGTATAGAATTAGCAGCGTAATCTATTGCGTACTATTTTCCCTTCGTCAAGGATCTTCAAGTTAAATTGTAATCTCTAGTAGTATATCATGTGACGCATTGTTGTTCGATCCGAAACATAAACCAATCTCCTCTATGATATTTTCCTCTCATCATCATCACGAAGAAATGAGAACCGGTAGGTTGAAAGCTAATGAAATATATGTGTGTGAGTACATTTTACGACCTAAGAACAGAATTAAATGATTAAAATAATAAGAAATATAGAAGTTTCGATGCACTGTGATGGATGGTAGCCCACCAGGTAGCACACCGACCTAATGGCTTTGTAGGAAGATAATCAATAATGCATATTTATGCAAAAAGTTATTATCAAAGTTTAAACAAGGCATTAGAGCGCCAGAGTTCAGGGGATGAAACCGTGAAGTTATTATTTCTTTGTTGTTTAAGTTAGTTGAATTAATAAACGTGGACTTTTTAGTTTTTATTCAGTATAATA